CCGCCTCTCCAGGGTCCCACCCACCGCTCCCCCCATTGTCTCCTCGTCGCGGGTCTTTGCCCGGGGGTCCCGCCCCTGCGTCCGCTCTTCCCGGTTTCTGTGAGCCTCACCCACGGGAACCGCAGTTTAGTGACAAAGTCAGTAAGGGCGGCGGGGGGACTCGTTTCAATGGCCCTGACACACCTCCCCCTGCCCGGTCCCCACGCCCGGCCTGGATATGTCTGAGCTGTGCCTCCGGGACCTCTGGTTCCAGCAGTCTCCATCTTGCCTCCCCTCCCCTGGGGAACCCCTTGGGCTGCAGGAGCGGCGAGAACCGGGAGCTCCCCTACCGCCTGGGACACAAAGGAGGGCGCTTCCTGTTTGCTTTGCTTTCGCCAACAAAACGTCACCGGGTTTGTCAACAAAAACGGGGATGAGGGCGTTCCCACCCGGACCCCCCGGTGCGCGCGGCCCCGCTGAGCGGGGTCACCTTGGCCCAGGAAGGGGCCGCGCGCGTCGGCTGCCCAGTAAAGACTGGACAGTGTTGGGAGGGTCCCCGGAACCGCTGACCAAGGGAAAGCGGGGGGCAGAGAGGAGAGAGATGCGGTGAAACCGGGGGCGGCGGGGAGCGTGAGGGAGGAAACACGGTTAGACGAGATTGGAGGAACAGGTCGGAAAAGCGACGGCAGAACTTGGGCAGAGCCCCCCTTCCCCCCGTGGAGGCAGCAGGTGGTCCCGCAGAGGCGTCCGCTCAGTAGTGGCCGGCGGACGAACATGCATCCGGAGCAAATGTTTCCACGATGAGGAACACCAGGCCGTCAGGAGGTAGGACGTGCCTGTTGAACGAACAGGTGAGCGTTACCGAGCTCGTCTGCAGCGGCTGCAAAGAGAGAAGGCCACGCGAGGTGGCTGTCACCGCGCTGTCCTCGCATGCAGTTTCTCACCCGTCTGTCAAGGGAGTAAATGGAAAAAACAAAAACAAAACCCCTGACTTCCAACCATGACTGTGCGCCCCAGGATCATTCAGCAGCCCTCCTCCTTTCAGCACCTCCTCCTCCATCCTGGAAACTCCTCTCCAGCTGGAGCAGTGGAGGCAACACGGTGGCTTGGGAGGGAGGCTTCCAAGAAGGTCAGAAGGGTCCTTGGTAAAGGGCTGCTGCCTCTGAAAGGAATGGGCTCCTTGGGGGAGAGCCCCCCACCCCCCCAAGAATCAGCAATAAGGACAGTCACATGCAGAGGCCTTTGGCTGATGGTTGCCTGTGCCCTGGCCCCTGGGTCCCCCTGGGTTCCTGCTCCCTACAGTCCACACTAAGAAGGAGTCTACCTTGGGGACCCTCAGGGCGTTTGCTTTCTCTTCCTAGGGTTGAGATAAGGGGCACTCGGGATCATCTGGTGTTGACGAGTATATCTGAGCAGGGTTTTCTAGAGCTGGGACTAGCGGGAGACAGTAGGAAGACGGTGACCGGCACCAAAGTTCCCAATAGATCTTTGTGACTGTGGCGGAACCCTCCTCACCCTCTGCATTCTCACTGGCATTCCCTCCCTCCATGTGTTTTGAGACCTGTTGACAGAGGACAGTTGGAAATCTGTGGTCCGTGGGCGAGGATACCCAGGTTCCTGGAACACAGAATTTTACGGTTAAGGGATAAATATCAGATAGAGTTAAAGGTGAATTCCAGACCACAGGGAGAAAGGTTTGCCTGAGCTAAACCAGTTTCATTGATATTTCTATGGAAAGAACATCTTAGTTCAGGAGAAGGGTTGCATGTTTATTACACATTTTTGAGAATCTGAAAGAGTCTTACTGGCTCTGATGTCTCTGGGCACAGAGGCACCGTTGGGTACCCGGAGTAATGGGGACCTTGGGAGGTGTTCATTGTTATGGGGGATATGGCACCAGGCTTCTTTGTTCGCTGTGACTGGAGACCCTGTCTGCCCTGCCCTGCAACCATCTCTGTACCACCTCCCCTCACTGGGGACGGATGCCTCCTGCAGGGGCCACAGGCATTCCCCTGACCAGAGAGAGGTTTCTCACCGCCAGTCAGGCAGTTGGTATCTTGAGTTTTGTTCCTGTCGGTCTTCCTGCATCTCTGTTGTGAGGGGCAAATGAGATCCTCTCGGGAGCCTGCAGAGTAAAAGGCAAACGCTTTTTCAATCACTAGAGAGAAGTTGGAGGAAGAAAAAGAAAACCCCAAAAGATGGTAATAAACTCTAGCAAGTTCAAGTGGGAAAGGAGAGCATAGAGCCCTCTCAGTAACTACAGAGACTGGGGTTCTCAGAAATCTGAAGTTTTCATTATTTCACGTAAGTTATATTTTGTAGTTTCCTCATTCTGGGGAAATATAAACTTCTTAAGTTTTCGGGGCACGTTTGTTAGGTTTGAGGAGTAAACTGTTCGGGCATCTAGAACTGATTAACAGTTTAAAGTGTATTATCCTCTTTGCCTTGAGCTCTAATAAGAAGGAAAGAGTAGGAGGGGAAGTAGAGGACAGTTTCAAATAAAACTGGGGCAGGGCTGAACGTTAGAGCTCCACACAGTGATTTACTGGTGTCAAACCACAGGGAGAAAGCTGACAATTCAGTGTCTGGCACGAAGAGCTTCTCAGTGTTTGTTGAATAAACGAGCTAGGGAACAAATGAATAAGCTGACGAATGGCATATGAAATAAAATAAATGAATAGGTCTATTTAGATTAGTCACCCTATTTATTGTTTCCTATCTGGTTACTTATTTGCT